ACAAAACCCCAGGACACACAGAGCAAGGAAGAAGGGGTGCCAAGCCCTTCTTATCTCATTCCCTCAGTTTCAGTCTGCAGCAATGAAGTTGAAGGCAATTTTGCAACTGACTTTGGCAGCTGAAGAATCGCATCCACAGGTATTCACATTCACAGCAGTCACGCAACTATTCTTCCATGCAAATGCACATCATGTCCTCCGCATGCACCTCACCTCACACACCAGTCCCCAGACGCTTTATCAACGCAGCAGCGAGCGAGGTGAACAAGAGCCTATAATGGCTTCATTGTTGCTATGTAAAAAAGCAGGATTTATTGATAGAAATATTTGTTCCAGAAATCTTGAAGTCTTTTAAATGTAGCTTTAATAAAATGCTGTTCTCCCGATCCTTCTGAACAGTACCAAATTTGTTACAGCACATGGAGGTGAAACAGAGGACAGATTACAGCGACCTACCTAAACGAGCACTCTTGTTAGATATATTTAAGTGAAAGGGGCAGAAGCTAGACACTGCAGGTTATTGTACATCTAGCTTCACTCTGTTTCTGAACACTGATAAAGGTGCTACAGCCTGCAGTTCTGCCTGTTAGGAAAACACTCAGCCCAGCACCCTGAACCTGCTGTAATGCATTTGGGTTCATTTTCCGCAATAAACCCTTAATCTTGGATCAGCTACACCAGAAACTGCAAATCTTCTGGCCCATCTAGACTACCTGCAAAGATTAGACTGAGTTTCAACTAACCTCAGATCCGTTTGCTGCACTAAATTAAAAGCCTGTGACACTTGAAAGGCTTTTGCTGCAAGGCAAGTTCAGAAAATGTTACCAAACCTGTAGGCACCACAGATGGCACTGAGTCAGGCTGCCGCACCCGAAGGTGTGTGGTTAGCAGGAAGAGGGTGATGTGTTCAAGGACATTATTCAGTGACATACTGGATGCCACCTGCACTGCTTTGTGCCCACTGGACTCAGCAGCTGAACACAAGACTTTGAGAAGTCAGGATGTCATACCCCTCTTTTTGTGAGGCATCCTTTTTATTAATGATCTTTTACAACATCAATCAACAGAAGACATGGCAACATATCAGTAATAAATGAAGCACTGTGACCAGCATGTCACAAACTGTCCCTTCTTCCTCAGGTTCAACAGATCTGAGCACTTGATATCAGGGTTTCTCCTCTCCTCATCCCTATTTACATGCATCCTCCGGATGCTACAGGATTCGTGCCAGAAAGAAGGAGAGTCTAAGTGCTGAAGGCTTCCTTTCTTAGGTATTTAAATACCTCCCTGCTTTTCTAGCTAATTCCAGAATGGGCTTTTTTTATTAAATTCAAGAACATTTTGGTCCTACATGACTGAGATTAAAATTTTTATGACATTTATAGAATTTTGTAATAAAACTTATTAATTTTTCTTCACCACATCAAAGTCTGAACAGGATGTCAGCAATCATACCTGCTCCAATAACATTTTATTTTACTTTGGATGATGGAAGAGAAGAGGATGGTTGATAAAGAAGGCTTTAGTCCACTTTTTCAGCTCTTTCTTACCCTCCTTAATCTCCCAATTGTTACATTAGATTTGCCAGTGCTACAATGCCTTCTTTAAAATAGATGTTATTTTTAAAAAATTATAAAACCAAGATATTAGAAAGAGCACTTCAGAGAAAAAGGAGCCACGTGTGCTGGCACTTCTCAACCTGTGGTCTATCAACCATGAGAATGTAGCTGAGAAAATGGCAAAGCTTTAAGCACACACACATCCATGCAAGTACACAAAGAAACCCACACATAAAAGTAAGAACCACACATTCAAACTTAGCCTATTTTTCAGTTGAGAGTGTTTAAAAAGCATTAAAAAGCATTATGGTAACACTACACACATTAATAGTTTAAAAAAAATAAGACACATGGAGAAACTGGGTCAAATTCAATCCTTATCTAAGAAGACAGATGCTAGCTCAGTCAACAGTACATAAAGCCTGAATGGGTACTACTCTATGACTAACAAAAAGCATCATGAAGAAAGAGTTTAAACTTTCCTGTATCATGTGTGTATACGGAAATGCCACAGAAAAGATGTATAATTTCCTTTGCATTTACAAGTGGCTTCTCTATCCTATCTTCTCTTGATCCTATCTATCAAGCTCTGTCCTCCACCCTCTCCCCATTACTCTGAAGTCTCAACTGCTCTGCTGTAAAGTTCTCTCTACCTGCGTCCTGCATAGCTTGGTAGGAATGATCATTTCTGCATTATTTAAAAACTTCCCCTCCAAGACACAGATGGTTCCTGCTGACAGTTTCACAAAGTTGTATGAGAAGCACCAAGCTTCTCCCTGTCTGACCTTGTGTGCTCCCAGCTGCCCAGGGCACCCTCACCTCATACTTATGACTTCTCAACTGGGAAAGGAATCAAGGAGGTTCTCTGCTACCCTTGCAGTTAACTCAAGCTTTGCCACACTTCCCTGCCAATTCTGGCTGTATTAGCAGCTTTTAGCGGTCTCAACCCACATACTATATTGGCTGTACTACAATAACAGCTCAATTGTCACAGGATAAATCTTCTTGTTTAAGCATCTGAAGTAAGACCTAATTTGAAACTATTCTGCATGTAAAATCAGGGATTCTCTGGAGTCATACCCTGGAAGTTCTGGGAACCTTGGTTTTCTGGTGAGGCACAACAGTACCCCTCTAGTTCTCACAGCAGACAAGGAGTCAGAAATCTGAAAAACTTCAGGTTTCTGCTTTCCAAACTTCTGTGTTCACAGGGCCACTGGGTCCAAAACCAGCTCTGAGATATCCAGAGTTTCTGACTCTTGAAGGAGCCGGACCTCTGGAGCTTTTCATGAAAGTTTGACACATTTCTTTTCCATTTGGAAACCAAACTGGAGGTAAATTTAAAAATCTTGCCAAGTTTTGAGAAGCACAGTGTACAGCACCGTACTTTGTTTTTCTTTGCTTTTGTTTTCAGTTAAATTTCCCTAATCATACTAATGAAAACATGTTACTTATTAGCATTACAAACTTTTGAGAACCTTTGTGCCATTGAAAGTGTCTCCATCATCTGTTCTTCTCCAATTCAAATTTCAAACAACACTTAAAAATGGTATTACTAAGTCCACAAACCCGAATGGATAGTAGCAGATGCGATTGGGGGGGTTGTTTTTCCTGCCATTTTTTAAAGTTTATCATCATCACAGTACTAAAGATATTCCTTACAATTTACTTCCCTAAACTCAGGAGAACAAATTTGGCTATTTTCTTTAATAGGTATTTATTTCAGAACAGCTCAGATGAAAGGCAGCATTACCAGGGAGTCTCACATCTTTCCTCCTGAAAGGAAGGAGGCCCTATGTGTTTCTTCTACATCACAGCACAAAGTTCTGAGTCAACAAGCCATATAAACCATATACCCACAAAAAAAGGTTGCTTTCTTCACCTTCTGCCTTGCTGCTGAAGGGACTGCCTGTCCCAGTCCCTCCTCTCCCCAGATCACCCTCATTTACTCCAGGAACAGCCTCTACCCCATAGCAATGAAGGACATAAAAAATAACTGAAAACCAACCTCCTCCTGTAAAATAAGTGTCATTAAGTTCACGAGCTGTTTCCATTCTAATATGCCAAGGAAACACTCCCATATCTTCTGTTCTGTGCGGAAAACACACACCAGCTGTTCTGACTTTTATGAAAGATTTACATCAAGTTCTTGATTTTCTAAGAATTCTGAATTTCTTCTCCTTTGTCACTGACACACAAATAAACAAACCAGCTCAAAGCCAAAAATTCTCAAAACCACAACCCAGAGGAGTCATGCTGCAAGGCAAATCGAAAAGAAATCCGAGTTTAGAGCTTCTGCTTTGAATGTCTTCTTTAATCAGGCTCCAAAAGATGAATTCAGCAGGGGAGAACAGATTCTGTTGGTTTATTTAGTTACTTATGTTTTAGTTGAGTCAAATTCTCTCAGTGCTTTTCAGTTAACCGAAGGTATTTCAGCATGAGACATCAAATACTGGAGGCCTCCCAGAAATCTGTGTGACCAATCTTACATAATTAACACACTCTGAGCTACTTCCTCTGAACCAAAAAGTTTCAAGAGGATTTCACTAAGGGCGCAAAGGGCTCCATGCCTACCTTTTGGGTTGGGGTTGTTTTAATACACGCTCCTGCACAACTGGGGGAAGCACAATATGCACACATGCAAATATCAGCTCCATGAAAACTCTACTAATATAACTTATCAGCTATTTCTGTTTCCATTGACATTCAGTTTTAACTTAAAATTAGTTCGTTGTTAATTAAAATCATATACTCAGATGCAAAAAGGAAAACAAAATTATTTGATTTTATGCAAGCACAAATGTCTAATTGGGAGCATTTTTTATGTTGGGGAGCATCTTCTCAAGTGGTCGCTGGAAAAGTGGCAAAAGTAATTCGGGTCTGTGTTACAGAATTAGAAGAGAGCAGTAATATTAGCAAAAGCCTAGCACTATAATTAGAATATGAGTAGCACAGCTCATTTAGGAAGCACTAGCACCTAGAACAGTGTAAAGGATCAACACAGTGAAATCTCTTCTAGATACATACAAGTTTGCTGTTTTATGTGAACAATGTTCATCAGAAGTAAGTGTTGCTCTATGGGTACCTAGACATTAATTGACAGTCTCATTTGTTATCCTGCTAAAACAATTAATAGTATAATAGTTTTCAAATAGCCTTCCAAGATGTTTCGTTAGATGCATTACTGTTTGAAGTAGTGGGAGATCATCCTTTGTTTTGGCTGAGGCTCCTGGATGTCAGCATTTTTGGTTTGGCCCCTGGATCTGTTGTATTTTACCTATGCAAAAGACCCCTGATTTCAGCAGAACCATTCCAACACTCAGCTACTAACACAGGCAAGCACCTGCAGAATCAGGGCAGTGAGTAAACACAATTTTGTTCCCTTTACTCTACTGCTCCCCCAGCATAAAAACCTTATTGGTCTTCTACAACATCATCTCATACCTTGTCTGTCCTTTTTTCTTGTTTTTCCAATATGGCCATGTTTTCTTTCAGAACTTTCACAATCTCAGCGGGATTTTTGTGCGATTTACTAAACAAAGGCATGGTCTTTCTTCACCTGGATTTCTTCCTTCAGGACAGAAGAGGACTGCCTTAAATTGAACAAGAAATAAAAACAGTTTTTAAGGTTTATACAAAAACGCAATAAAAACACACAAAAATATTATGAACAAGAAAATTATGCCTCAGGCACTACATTTTGTTTCAGCTGCTCAGTGAAGCAGTAAAAGTTCTCACATACAGTTATTGCGAGTTCATCCACGATTCTCAAGCCACCATTAGCATGTGGAAAGCAACTACTCAGCACCTGCACAGGAGCTGGATGCTTCCTAAAGACCTGATCTACACAGTCAGCACTCCAGCTAGTCTATGTCTACGTCCAACATATTTTGGACACTGTGCATCTGGCAGGCTCCTCTAGAATTCTCATAAGGGTTTCTGTCAGACTACACTAGCTCCATCATGATGCAGGTAAGCAACTGTAAATGCCAGCACACCAAACGCATCCTTTGTTTAGAGCACTGCAAGTTAAGGTCCCAGATTCTCTGCCATCTCTTCTTCAGCTTTTCTTTTTCAGCCTAAAGCTTCTTGGGAGGAAGCAGTTTAAGCTATCTCCTAAGTCTGACAGACTTCAAGAATCTGTGGGTCAGATCTCACTTGTGTAAAACGTTGGCTGAATTAAATAAGGAAGAGATGATCAGGTCCAAATAAGAACACAAATATTTTCATGACATTTAAACAGAAGACTGAGCATTTTAATGAAAATTATTTGTTTGTTTAATTTAAAACATTCTTTCTCTGTATGGCTAGAAAGGCAAATACCACATCACTGTATTTATATATGAAAGAAACCAACTAGATTAGTTTCTCATCTTACAAAGCATTAAGTTGTGAATTCTTACGGGTTTTGCTGAGGGTCTAGTATAAAGATCTACTGAAGTCAATGACTGACTGACTACAGATGGGAATATGCTCTGGTTAAAGCTGTACCACTTTCCAGGGAGAGCACTATTCTGGACTGCATTCCAGTTCGTACAGTAATGAAAAAGAGGTTAAAAAAAAAAAAGGCAGCAAAAATAATCTCAAACTTTCATCTCTTTCCACAATAAAACAAAACCATCACAATCCCTCCACACATACGCTTGCAAAATCTGTTGTGAAAACATAAATATATACACAAATCACTTCAATCTCATTATTCTTCAACTTTTACAATTACAAAAAAGGTTTATACGAGAGGTTTTAAAGAAGAGAATTAAATGAGCACAATACACACAGCATAAAGAAGAAAACCCAGCGGTCCCAAAGAACCCACTCCTCTCATGCTTTGTTGTTATTACTGACATGCTACAGCTTCCATCAGGAAATATGATGCCATTTGTGCCATACATCCATGTGTTAGTAATCCCCAAATATCCTATGGAATTAATACCCAGATTAGACATACATTCTATTGCAACTATAAATAGCAATCATATAAAACAGCGAAGTACAAAATTCTGACTTTAAAAAACCAAATCTATACAGATTCTGTCTTAACATCTTACTAAAACATTTCAAAACATTTTTGCAGATTATCTTTACAGTTTCTATGACCTGGAGGAAATATTTTTAAGTGTCTTATTTAACCCAAAATTTCTTTTATAGTGTCCACAGTAGGTGAATTTGTATATAGCTTCTCGTTTGTTGCTAGGTCAGTTTTACAGGGATATTTTCATGTTCAATGTCTGAAACCTCACCACTTTCAGCTTTCCCTTTTCAAGCTCCTCACAATCCAGTTCAAACTCATTTTTATTTCTGCAGTTTTCCAGTTTTCACTACATAACTTTCACTCTCAGCTGTTGAGCCCTCAGCTGCAGAGCCCTGCTCCCATGCAGCTCACAACTCCAAGCTTTGGCACCACCAGCCAACTTGCAACAGAGCAAAGTCACATCTCAACCTGACAAAGTACAAGATTAAAGACTGGGTACACTAACGACTCACTCTTTTGGGCATGTTCAGCTACATACAAGCACTAGAAAAGATTGGGATGCCAACAGTATACAATAAAGTTGCTTAAATGCTGCTAGTGAGTGTCAAGCACGCGGTAATCCCACATGTGCTGCAAATAGAAGATTAATAATTCACAACATACTTTGAGAAGGACCTGCATGTTTTTATTATCCCTGAAGACACGGGATGAGGATGTGATGATGCAACAGAGAGAGTCTGAAGGCAAGAGAGATGCATTTCAGAAAAGAAGTATTTTCATCCAGGTCGGGGTAGGTATAACCAGAATGCTTAAGTCTTCCCTTCATCTTTCCCTTTCAGAAGACTCCACAAAAAGAAAAGCAAAGGGAGACATAATTTGATTTTTAAAATGAAGTACTCCTCAGCTAGAGGTTCTGAGATTTTTCAAAAATGAAGTTCACATTTCTGAAATGTTGACTATAAACATATTTTCATCCCAAAAAGTACTTACATAACTGTCTAGAGTGTCTGTATTTAAAATTATCATTAATTTTTCCATAAAACTACAAGATTAGTTGGGAACAAAGGCTAGCACTTTTTGACTATATAGTTTCAGTCTTGACACCAAGTCACCACAGCACCGTTCAGTGATAAAATACATTTCTCTTCACTTCATACTCTACCATTATCCTAACCACAGATTCTTACATTACAGTTTTTAACTCATCATCACCTGGCAACAGATGATCCATCACTTCACAAAATACATACTGGCAGCTGCAGGTTATGATCCCTTTTGATTCTTCATGCAGGAATCTTCTACGAGGACACCTGCTAATCACAATAACAAGTGGAAGCAAAAGGGGGTAAGGTCACTTTGATGAGATTTGGGAATTGTACCCCTTAGTCTTATGGCTGGCTATTCCACAAGGTATGTGGCAAAACAAGGACTCCTCTCCTCCAGATTTGCTCCTCATGACTGGCTTGAAAGCACGAGCTCTTGCTAAAACTCTTAACACAGCGGGGCATTTCTGTCCTGTCCTCCTCCTTGTATCAGCTGTCTGCTCTCTAAGCTTTTACTTGGAAGGTCTTCTCTTCAGTAGAGGCACTAACTTGGTTTAAAGGCCCTATTCTTTTCATCACTTATTTTCAGTCCATTTTTTGGAACTTGGTATTTGCCAGGCATCTAGCCCTCTGTCAAGGTAGCCTGAAATTTGACAGTAAGTTCAAAAGTTACAATGGGAAGATAATTAGGGTGAGAGATAGACAGTGTCACCATGTAAGCTTCATCTTCTCAAGAAACCACTCTAAAAATAACTGAAAACCAAAGATGAATGACAAGTGAAAAGAATGTAATACAGGCTTACTAAAGGTAGCTCATACTACAGTTCCTTATGAATATATTTTTAAGCAGAGAAGACACAGTAGAATCCATGTGTCCAACATGGAAATACACTAATTTGAATATAGTACAAAATAAACTCCTTGAAAGAAAATTATCATGTCATCTGACTGAGAAGGTAACAGCAATTTGGAGACAGGACTGTACTTAGATAGGCATAGGAATTAAGAGCCTACACAAAAATGGTGGATACTCAAAATAGAAAGATATTATCAACACATAAGAGGATTAGAATATCATTAGAAACTGGATAGTGTGAAGAACTGAGAAAATAAAAATGGGATAAAAGTTAAGAGTAGAAACTATCAGATGATGCTAAAATCAGAGGATTTGTAGATGTTCCAGATACCTGGAAACATTCAAGATTAGATTGGACGGGGTTCTGAGCAACCTGTTCTAGTTGAAGACATCCTCGTCCATGGCGGGGGCAATCGGACTAGATGACCTTCAAAGGTCCCTTCCAAACAAAACCATTCTATGATTATCTGCTTCAAGCTGAGGACTTACCATGAGAAATGACAAAAACAGGCAGCTGGTGACATATACAAATACACACAGTATTTTACAGACAGGAGAAAAACAGATGCAAATCTGTGATGAATTAAGGAAGTAATTGTCAACAGAAATACAAAGGTATTTATGTCTCTGTATGGTCTTGAAAGAACTTTGTACAGAACATTGTACACAATCCTGAACACCTGCAGTCAAGTAAAATCAACAGAGATTAGAGTGGGTGGAGAGAAGGACCCTAGGCTGACCAGAAAAACAGGAAGACCAGCTTGTCTAGAAGGCTAAAAGTGCTCCCCTGGTAAGCTTAGAATAAAATACAGGGAAGCCGAAGAAGTTATTTTAGCTCAAATAACAATAAAACTTTATTTATGCAGAAGCAAATGGCTATAAATTGCTGATGAATAAACTTCAGCTGAAAATGTAAAGGTTTCTACCCACTGGAGCTTTGAGGTTTTGAACCAGCCACATTACAGAGCTTGATTCATGGATTTTTGACACTGCTGTCTGGCAGCAAGGGACAGGGTTGAATGAACCCCTTTCTTTTCCTACTCTCTAGAAAATTTTTTTCCATCTAATGGTTATTCAACATATGTTTTTATAACATCAGAAATGGATTGTGGGCAGTCCTGAATTCATAATGGGGGGCCAGCCAACTTCTGAAACATTTAGTTCTGATGATGTTATATTTCACTGGTGCTCTTGTGAGGAGCTTATGAGACCAAAGGAAACAGCTGTATCTCACTGGTCCAACTCTTCTGGCTTCAGAGGTTGTCTCTCCCAGTCATGAGGAAAATGCCCCAGCAGCACTGTAGGAGGAACAGTGGTTTCCAAAGCCTGCTGTTGCCATCAGCATGAACATGACATTTCAGCCGCCAGAGTTGGAGAGTCCAGCACATTTCAGGAACTCTACTTTTAGAAAAATACTTTAAGGGAATGTCATTCTGTGTTTGTTCAGGAGGAAAAAAAAGACACTGATTTTATTTTAGGTAAGTTAAGAAGCACCAAAAGAAAGTATTAAAGCACCACTTTCTAAATGTCTGGCTATTTCTGTTTGAGTCAGAAAAAAAGGGAGAAAGAAAATCACACAGACTAAAGTAGCAAATTGAACCCTGAGATGAATGTGCTTTACAAGACATGACTTTTGGACAAGACATTAGGTAGCCTGTCAAAGGTAACATAACATGCCTTCATACTCGGGGCATGCCTTCCCTCAGAGGCCTCCAGCTCTACAAACATTTAACTAAGATTTCACAAAACCTATATACCTCCTTTTACTCTGCCCCCTCTGCAAAGGGAGAAGCTGAAGCACAGAAAGATTAGAAAATTTACCCAAGGCCATATTAAAAAAAATCAGTGGCTGTGTCAGGAGTGCAACCTAGATCATCTGACAACAAAGCCCATGCTTTATCAGTCCTCAAAATATCTCTTTTGCCAGTTTATCTGCTCATAAAGTACTAAAAAAAATTAATTTAATACAGCTATTAAGTACAGTAAGAGATCTAGTTCTGCTTATAGGTACTCTCCCCAATTTCTTTGCTTTTAATCATATACTTCCTCCGAAGACTACAGTGCAGTTGAACCTGTAAGCACAATGAAGGAAAAACACACGCAGCAACATCACTCTACTAAGCAGCCCATCCCACTACGAAGTGACTCAGTAAAGCAGCTCTGTAACAAATGCTTCTTCCTGCCCACGAAGGCAAGAACGGGAGAGAGCATGTGAGCCCATCCACGCACTCTCTGCAGACACTCCTCTGGACAAGCAATTTGGTTTTCCAAAATAAACAAGCTAAAAGATTTCCTTCCCGTCAAGTATCAGACATTCATCTTGTCTTCAACTTATTGAACAGAATCAAAACATTTCAATAACTCATACCGTGTAAGAATTTCTTGAATGGAAGAAAAGACCTTCATTTTTCATTGACTGCAGTGTGCCTAAGACCCATATATTTGGGGCCTGAGTCAGTACACTTTCTTTATCATTTTGGCTAATTCAGTTTCTACATCATGGAAGAGGCACTTTAATCCCTCCTCATTTATCCCTCCTGCCATATTTAGGAAAGCTGTTGCACTTACAGAGCAATGTACTCAAACCAGGGGATGGAAGCCCCCATGTGTGATGATCAATTGGAGAAGCCGAATTCATCCTCCCCAATGCAGTCCCCTCACATGACCCGTGTTTTACTTAATATGCAGAAGGAATAAGGGCTACACAACAAGTAGCTTCTCTGCAAATCCTCAATGAGGTACATCACAAATGAGACAAAAGATTAACAGAAGAGAGGACAGTTTTAGGGTTAAGGTGAATGAACACCAACCCTGCTTGGCAACAAAATTATTCCAAAAACTCAAGAATTTACTCATCATAAGCTTTGCTGTTGGCTACTTGTTGCACTATCTGGAACGAAGGTGGATATTGGCTGAAACTTCACCTGAACGCACAAAACATTGCAGTAATGCCTAGTATCACTACAAATGTCTTTTTTAGTAGATGGTATGCATCCTGAAGATCAGACATGGAAAAGAAGTAGGCAGCTCTGCCCTTAATCTGATCACCTCTACAGAATAAGAATAATATTATCACATAGTTGTTTAATACTATTATGAAATTGAAGGCACTCATGGTGATGCTCCATTCAAGTGCTGTGGTGAAGCACTCAAAGAAATTACTTATTCTGTTTGTAATCAAGTGCTTGAATGCCTATTTAATAAACCCCAAAAATTCTATGTAGTCTGTCAGCAAACACAGAGGATAAAATGACACACCAAATAGCAAGATGGTCACTGAGGCAACAGTTTGATAAACACTTTGTTTCATGATGGTGACACCCCGCTCCACATCTACCCACATCCCTACAGACTCTGTTGGGGTGATACAGCTGTTTGCAGGACCACATGGTGAACCAGGTCAGGGAAGTGATACAGGTTAACAAAAAATAGCTTGGTGGGGAAAATATGTCACACAGATTTCCAGTCCAGTTCTGCCCACAGTCTAGAGTTGTACCAGCACAAGAGAGGAAGAAGGGGATGGAAGGAGGGTACAGAGACAGGGCTGATGGAGCAGATGATACAGCTCAGGTGTTCACCAACCAAACCCAGAATGAGGCAGCAATGATCAGAATTAATGTGATAACACAAACAAAATACTAATCATAAAATGGTTCCAGGGTTAGATGGGACCTTAAAGATCATTTAGTTCCAATGCCTCTGCCATGGGCCAGGACACCTTCCAACAGAGCAGGTTGCCTAGCCTTGAACACTTCCAGGGATGGGGCATCCACAACTTCTCTGGGCAACCTGTGCCAGTGTCTCACCACCCTCATTGTAAAAAATTTATTCTTAATATCTAATCTAAATCTACCCTGAGTAGGGTATAGAGACTACGATGGCAGAGGCAAACACCAGAATTGAAATTAGGAACATTTTGGGTGTTTGACTTTGCTACTTAGTGTCCTTTCATTGGAAATCCTGTGCTACCAAATCTATTGTTACTATAATAAAATTACAAAACAGCATTCGCACACTGCAATGCCAGGTAACATTCAGATTCTAAACCCATGAGAAGTGGCAACCAGTGGCACCATACTCACACCAGCATCAATTATCTCTGTATCACAGGATTACACAGGCTCTCCCATTCATGTTAATGAACTGGCAAGAAATAATAGGTTATTACCTTATGTTCAATAAAACTATAAAGATAGGAAATCACTGATTTTACAGCCACCAAATTTGCAGGATTGATGAGTCAAGAATATTTGGGATCCCAATGTGCATTTGTCACCAGAGGTCTTTCAAACCTAAAAGATTAAGGATTCAATTCCATGCCTAACTGTAATCCATAGCAAAATTCCCACAAGCCCAAATATGCAGAAGGAGGTCTTTTAACTAATGTCTCTGAAGTACACACAATTCTAACAGAAGAGCCCTTAACAGCTTTTAATTTACTTAAGTAAAAGGGAAACCATGTTAAATATCCATTTCTAGTAGGAATAATAACTGCAGAAATAATGGAAACTGGTACCATAATTTAAATAACGCAGGCAGCAGCCAAGAGGGAATAGGACTTCCTCTAAACTCATTAGTGAGGAACATGAATACTATTTTTTGCTTTTTGTCCAATATTACTAAAGTTACCTCTCTACACAGCATTTACTTGACCATGTTTGTAGCAAGTCTGCTGTATTACTTTCAATAGCTTCATAACACATTAAAATAATTTTCTATAGTAGTAATTTCACAGTACTACTAATATTAGCCCAAGAAAGAGTCTTTTCTCTGGGAAAAAAAAAAAAAAAAAAAAAAAAAAAAACCAAAACAAAACACCAAACCAAACTTCCCTTAAGCTCAATTAAAGTTCTGCCTGATAAAGACTTCATGAATCACCCATTGCACAGCATTAGCATTTCAGGTCGACAAGACCTATCAACTATAAATACCGAGATGGTTAATTTACATATGCCGTTTCTCCTGGCAGTTCACATGCACGCCCATCTTCCCTTCATCTCTGTTCCCCCTGTCTTATGCAAGTGGCCACGCTCCCATTCCTCCGCATCTCAAGAGCCAGTCCGCAGCTGCAGGCACTCAGTGGAGAGGAGCAAAAAAAAAATGATATATTGCAGATATTTTATTTTTGGAAACCACACTGTAAATAAAGCCATTTCCAGAGATATTCCATGGACACGGAGTGCTTGGTCGCAGAGCCAGTGCCTTATGTAACAGAAGGAGTATTGTTTAGGGTTGCCTGCATTAGAGCCACTCCTGGTAACACAGTTTACAAAGCTATAAAAAGCTACCAGCGTAACTACCGAGAACAAGCAGGCAAGCAGTTTATCACGAAAAGGCTGGTGCTGACTGGAAAAAAAAAAAAAAAAAAAAAAAAGAAAAGTTTCATTAAATCATTTAACTTTGCTTCACTCGAAGGACATCACCTCGGCTGACACTTACTGTGAGTGGAAAGGTGGGGCTCCTAGGCAGCCCTGTGCAGCCCCATGGCCAGGTGCTGAAGACAGCTCTGCCGTCTCCCTGCAGCCCACGCCGCCAGCAGCCGCCTTCAGTGATCTCCCATTTAATTCCGCTTTATTCCCCCCCGCCGATTATCCACACGTGGCAGAGACCAGGGATCCCACGACTCGGCCTCCCGCTCTTCTTTTGCAGAGCGCCCGTCAGTCTCTGAAAAAGCGTGAGCAGAAGGGATCACTCGGACATGCACAGGCGCTCACAAGCAGCTGTAAATTTCCACTCCCCGCTGCCTGCGGCTGGACTCCCGGCCTCGCTCCGGCTCCTCGCTGTTCCTCTTCCTACGAGCTCTGTGGCTGGGTGTGCGTTTTTCCCCCAACTGCCCTCCCCGCTTCCCACTCCCTCGCTCGTCTTGCTGGCAGGCTCACACACACCCCCCAAACTCCACGTCAGAGGAACGCGTGGAAAAGAAAAGGATGAAGCGATCACTCCGCCGAGAGATTTCTCCAGGGTTAAGGGAGGACATGCGACGATTTCGCATCACTTCTGTAAGTTTCCATTCCTCAAAGTTTGTCGGTGCAGGGGAGGCATCGCTGATGGGTCCTTGCACCATCACGTGGCAGAGGCTGCTGGAATTAAATTATTCACCTTGCCGTCCTGCTAGGAATGCAAATAAGGGAGTCCAACATTGGGTTGTTGTTACAAGATAACAATAAAATCAACATGCTCACGCACCACATCTTTCAGCAGAGTCCTGTCCAGAGAAGCCGAAGTTCAGCTGCTTCCTGCCTACCTATGTATTATAACACAAAGATCTGAATACTTTTCCACAGTAATACTTGAGGGAATAAAAAAACCCACCCTGCCGTGTACTATAAGCAAAATTTAAATCCTGCTGAAGAAAAACATTAGGCCAAAGGATTTTTTTCAAAGGCTAATATGATGAAGGGGGGGAAAAAATCATACATTAAAGTATTCCAAAACAAGTATTACTAGCTATTATCAAGCACACAAATACAGCAAAATGCAATTAAAGGAATTTTTAATGCTTCACTTTTCTCTCTCGGCAACTATTGCTCAGCAAGCACCACACATTCCCAAAGGAAATGTGTGCTTTCCTCCCTGCTCCCAGCTGTCTAACAGGCCTTGAGAGCAGGGAAAGGAGGATGCTTTACCAGGCACCATGGTCACTGCAAGGTGGGATTTAAAACCTATCCTCATCTGAATCTTGGCCAAGTCCCAGCAGGGATGAAAGCCCAGCATGTATTTCAGCTGAGCTCACCAGCTCGAGTGGGGAGATTTCACCTCCCATCCCTTCTTCCTCCAGGCAAAGCCTAGCCAAAGTCCTACATTATTAAAAATAGTTCTGTATGCTACATTTGTCTGGGGAGCTGATCTCAGCCCCCGCTGCATACCAGCACTGCTGTTGCATCAGATCTTGATTTAGGGCTCACCTGCAGTAGCTATTCACAGCCTACATTAAAGGCAACGAAAAAAGCATGAGAAACCTCATTTCTGAGGAACACAAATGAAACAGACACCTTTTAAAGGGCTAACATCCTTTGCTTGCAATCCGAGCTCCTAACTGAAGCAAGAAGGAGTATCCCAAATCCTCACTTTGAAGAGCAACTTGCTGTCCCTCCCAGGCTCAGAGGGGCAGAAGCCATTCCTGCTCCCTTAACCGCCCTGCACTTGCTCCTGTGTTTGCACAGGAGGTGCTGAGCCAACCTCAGATCTGCAGATTTGTGATCTCAACTTATCTGTAAAGCACGTCATGATACTGCAGTCCCGTTTTCAGACCGCCCTGAGCAGCGCTCGGAACAAGCATTAATAAGTGTCCCCGAAAGCACTGCAACAAGTGATACCAAGCGGCAATTTCTGCTTAAAACCCCTGCTGAAACATTCTTCCAGCACTGAATTAAAGGCTTCACGTTAGCCACCTCGACCAGGCCACCTCCAGAGAGAGCTCACTGAGGGATGCTGTGAATGCCAAGCTCAGAATAGGATAAGCTGCCCTTTTAAGCAGCATTTTTCTCCACGCGGCTCAGTGGGCATGTGGACAACCTGCACACACTGACATTTCATGACATGAAGGACTTGGGGAGAAAAACTGGTGCTGGGCATCCTTTCGTGGGTGCCCTGCTCTGCCCTAGCTGGGTGGGGAGAGAGAAGGGATGCCTTGTGGTACCTTACACCCACTGTGGGGCTGGCCCTTTTTTTTAATCGGATACCATAGCCCTTGCATAAACATCGCAGTGAAAGTCAAATGATAAACACTCTGCCCTTGGGCTACTACTGAAGGTACCAGCTTTTCCTAAGGCAACACAACAACCTAAGTACACCAGTACTTCCATTGTGTGTTTTTAAGGGATTACCTGTTTTCCCTCTAACCCTCCAGTGGGAAATTATATCTTTTCCATTGTGAATCCACCATCACTTCAACAGGCAAAAAGACACCCTTTTGTTGCCCCATGGAGTTCAACTTTGGTGGGTGCTACCCTGCAGTTGAATAATCACAAAAAAGATGGAAATATCACAGAAAGTTGTTTTAGTTGCATGTTAAGGGCCCCCCTTGGAGATAATCCGTGTATCACTGAGTTCAATTAATCATCCATGGACTATTTTGAGTATCCTGGCCCTTTGGAAGCATAAGAAATTTATCTACAAAATTACTATCCTCTGTTTCAGACTGAATGTGCCTGTTTTCCTGATTCTGAGGAATAAATTGAATATGCACTCAATTATGGTTCAACTCTGCCCATCTTCTACCTGAGGAAATACTTTAGGGCTTTAATAGGAGCCCTCTGTACACCAGAAGAGCAAGAAACCCACCTGCCTCCATCCCTGCATTGCAGCAGAAGAAACAGTGCAAAGCAGGGTAGCTAAAGAGGCAGGGGGAAAAAAAGATTCTCTGCTATTCCAATACTCTGTTTCATCTTAAGTGGAGTTAATTTCCAAATGACAGGAAAAGGCCCTGAACCATTCAACAGGAATTAAGCCATAATTACTTGGTGCTCTTATCTGTTTGTTGGGGGTTTTTTGTTGCTGAGAAGTTATTAAATATTTCCAAAAATATGTTTACTTCCATTCTTAATTTGTAGCCATCTCAAATCTAGAATGATGTAATTATAAATAGACAACAAATCTTTATAGTCTCAAAGTACACTGAAAAAAACCCCTCTGTGCACTGCTAAAGGACTCCAGCTTCCACATATTTAAATTTCATTATATTTGTTTCCTTTAAAGTGAGCAGAGTCCTCAGGCTAAGGCATGGTTAGATTACTTTTGAGAAATGTTTGTCCTTGCTTTCATAACTTAAAATCATTCCATCTAATAAATACCAAAAGAAGAAAACCCTAGTCCATTATTCCTGCCCTTTCCATTTATTTTCTAAAGTGGAAAAGAGAAATTAGGGAACCTCAACAATGAGTGTGGTAGTGATAAATTACAGCAGCAGATGATAAACACGCAATGTATATGTATTAATTCTGCTTATCTATTTATCCACTTCCAGTCTGTCTACCTCCTCCGAGATTACTTCCAGCATTCCAAAGCCCTAAGCAGCCTCTAATAAGAATAACAACAACATCCTTCCTTCCCCCCAAATTGCTCAGTGCCAAGGCCCCAGGCCATCAAAATTCAGTTCTCCACAGCAACAGGTTTAGTTGTGTAATGCTGAATATCAAGAGGAGAACCTTCAGAATACTAAAAAGATTCCCCCACCCTCCAAAACCTGAAAACTAGAGAACATCCCCCACAGCATTTCATTCTGTTCTTACACATACCAGGATATCAACATTATGGCAGTTTATTGGGGTGGAGGGGAACTAAAAACAAATAACTTATATAATCTACATCGTAAAGCTGTTACACTTTAACTCAAGGCATTTAGCTTTACAACAAAGCAGTATAAAAAGTCTGCCCAACAACACTTCTAAAACCTTGTAAGATGAGAGACTTTACAGTAACTTTGTGCTTCGGTGTTATTCTGCAAGTTCACAGATACTCCTTTTCCTCAGATCTCTGCAAGAGCAGTGCAGCCACTCCAAAATAATGCAAATAAATTCCTCTTCATCTAACAGATCCCCAATACAGACATACACCAACACTCCCACTTTCTCTCATTCTACCCCATATAATCTCGGAGGGAGACAACCTGAGAACCAAACTAACATTTGGCTGCTCATTCAAATAGAAAATAAGGCAAAAAAATGGCTACAGTCTATGGAGGGGCAGGTGGTTTTTCTTATGGCCATTTAAAAAGCAGCAAAGCTTCAGGCCTCTCTCAGGACTAGAAAATTGAAATTTCTCCAGTGAAGTGTGGGAGAACAGAGAGCAGCAAGATGCAGTGGCTGACCTGTAGCTGCATTTTAGCTGAAGTAAGCAGAAGCGTTTAAATGGATGCTTTATAAAAGCTATTCCTAAAAGTGCAAACATCTTCAATGGTTTTCCCCTCTTCTTCTTCCTTGCTCCCTCTAGCGTTTTTATGTACGTACTGCCTTTTCCTTCCCTTTCCTTTAATGTAAATGCAACTGCTAAAATGATGTTTTTGTTGGTTTTGGGAGGGGTTTTTTTAAGACCTTCAATAACTCGCATAAACTGCTCATGAGTTTTTACTGAACATGGTATTCTTGTGTACATCACTCCAGAAATCAAGCACTGACACTGGCCTTTCTACCAGAAGCCTTTATGTATTAATTCTTTATGTACAGGCCAGAGTATTTACAATTTTTCTCATTTTAAAGGCATCCATCAGTCCCATTGTTAGAGAAAGTCAAGTGAAATGGATCCATTTCCTTGCACACTCCCACCCCAAGCAAATTAAGTCTAAACAGAAGGTTACTAGAGCCCAACAGCTGAAAAATATAACATATTAAAATTTTATGTCTGCTATAAAGAGTCACTCATAAAATGTTAATCATGTCCCTTATCTACTGTGTCCCAACATAAAACACAAATAAGAACCATACCTGCACTCTCGTTTTTATGAGTGGAGGAACAGTAAACTCACGACAACATCACTCTTTTCTCCTGTGGACATATGCAAACAGAAACTAGTCCTCCAAAATCAGTAACTCCCTGAAGAGCTGAGCAGGTATTTTTAATATAATTAAAGCCTTCACCTCTCCAAACAGCTTCTATCCCAGCTCTGTACAGCCAACTACTTGAGTGTCCACGTTTGTTTGCTTAAGGTCCATTAGCAGAATTTAAAA